AAAATAGATTGTCAAATTTCTTTCCTTTTTGGTGATGGGGGCAGGAGGGGGGGGGCACAAATCTGGCAATATGAAGTGCCCGATAAGAGACATGTCTGACAAGAGAGAAATGTGACTATCCATGTATTTGTAATAGATGAGAAAAATAAACGAGTTAAGGGCGAACGAGAATCACGCAAATATAGAGAAGGTTTTTTGCATATATCCAGACTAGGTGTCGTGAAAATGAAAAATTTGCTCACACACACTCCCGTGGGAAAGTTCAAGTAACTGAAATCTATTTATTTATTGAAAGGTAGAATATGGAGTCGATGAGAACGAGTCATATCTGGAGGATGCAAAAATCGACTGTGATTTGGCCGTAGCTACAGAGCATCTAACTAAAACTTCCAATGACACTTACCGACCGACCCGAAGCAACATAAATCACAATTTATGGCATCCAACTAACTGATGAAAGAGCGTGTGGGAGTAAAAAAAAGTGAGACTCCATTGGTCAATTCGTCTCCCAGGACACTTAGAAAGCACAGGAAAAAATCAAGCGCAACAAAACAATCACTGACCGATTTTCAAGATGAAAAACGTGTCTGGCTTCAGAAGAAGAAAATAATCAGGACTCAAAAATCGGATAGAAATTGGTAGATTCAATCAAACATCTTCCACTGACCGAACAGAAATCCACCTGAGAATGANACATGATCGATACGTGTTTGTTTGAGAGGCGTAATGTATATCCGAACACGAGGGTGAACTTGGGGATATGCATGATTTTCTCCTTACAACGGTCAATCCAAATGGATAAGACTTTCAATCGTTCGAACAGTGAAATAAGGATTATTCTCGCTCTCGTTAAACAGAAAGCGTTTTGTATTAAAAAACAATGCCGTGTGGCCCAATAGAAACGCAGTAAATTACAGCCTCTGAAAACCTCAGTATGGTATCAGGTAACAGTCTCCATTGGCGTCTGATCACCTTTCCATCGGGCCTCCCGAAAGCTCGTATGTTCGATCTAGTGTCTCAAATTATCTCTGATGAGGAAATCTCCGCGAGGAGGGGGGGGGCGGGGGAGAGAGGGAACAAAAACATATCATCATGCGGGGGCTATAACCGGAACGGTGACCCCGCAGCAGTTCGCCTTAGGAAGTAGGCGAAAATTCCTGGATTCCAATAAACCGCGAACTACAAGCACCATCAACTAGTTCCGGTAATCATCCCTGATTTGAGAGAGCATCGATCACCCCAGGAATGGTTGAATTTCAGTCCAACCTTGTGGTTTAACTCTTGATATTTACCCTACGCAAGCATTGACGAGTTCTTTAACAAAATACGCACTCTCTTATACGCCCACAATACCAATTATATGTTGTCGGAGATTAAATAATTGATTCGGACAGGAATATTTTGAAAAAGGGATAGTCCTTGGCTGTCTTCCAATGAAGATATCAGTATGTGTTAAGGAATAAACCACAGTGATAATTCAATACGTACTACCAACCCACAACTCACAAAATAACAGGCAAATAAGGTTCTCATTTGAAGTGATTAACCAACCGTTTAATAACTATGGACTGAATAAATGCAACGTCATTTTGTTTCACATCAAACGTGGATTCTTTCCTGTACTCACGCTATGATTACCACTCCACCCCAGGTCCTTCCCTATCCCTGCTCAACTTGAGTCAAGTGACCACGTGACTCGAAAGTGAAATTCACTTACAGAATTTGTGGTCCGTTTTGTGCACTGAAGTCGTAGGTCCGATTGAGCGGATTCATCGCCCGCACGGGGACGCCACCACGAGCATCACTATCGATGTTCGCGGTCGCATCCCCTGACCCCGGATGCACGAGGCGAATTGGCTCGGGTAGTAATTGTGGTCGACGTGTTGCGCACCACCCGTTTGTGGCCGAATGACAGGAACCGGATCCTGTGGGTGATGCGGGCTCGGGCACGGAAGCCGAGCCTGTGCGGAATGACTGAGTACGGTAGTTATGAGCCAATTGGGCGATCTGTTCAATCGGGATCTGTATAGCAAATGCCAGAGGGGATGGAGCAGGGTAAATAAAAAAGTTATTTTTCACAAGACCGAATTAGTCGAGGCTTTGGACTGGTTCATGTGAATAGCTGCGGTAATACGTGCGCTAAAGCTTTCTTCTTCCGTGCCCAGGTTGCTCACAGGTAAATGAACAAGAGAAACTGATAGGTAATCCATAAAATAGAATCATACATAGGGTTTGCTGATCGCGGTTAGNGAAGTTAGAAAACACAAAACATGATAAACAGTTGGGGTTGATTAAAATGAAATGAAACAGAGAGGTCCGTCTCATATTCAGACGTATATAAAACCCGGAAAGGGATAGACGCGGATAAGTCCAATTGGGGTTAGGTCTGAGAACAGTTGTGTGTGTGTTGTGCGTCACATTGAACGATTGGACGTAGTGATTACTGACAAATGAAATGCATTGACGAATGTGGTTAGTGAAAACGACAGTGCACACGTTAACCACACACACACACACACACACACACACACACACACACACACACACAAACAGGAACGTTCGGTCAGATACAGTGAATGAGGCCACAGATCAGTGAGTGAAGATAAATCATGCGGGAATATGGACATGCAGTGTGAGATTGGACCGCTTGAGTTTGTCTTTAACAGTCACACAGTGAAATGAAAAATCCCTAGAGTGATAAACTGACTGTGGCTGATTCACAAGAATAATAAGCTTCAATCTCCCCCCGTCCCACAACTTCTTTTTGTAATGTATCCCTTTAAATTCATAAAAAATTGAATATACGCTGTCGTACAACGGTTGATTCGCTATGGGATAAACCATAAATCATTGGTCTTTAGCGAGAGAGTAATACATTACTAACAGAGGGACACAAAACAGAACGACTGAATGGGTGCTGGTCTGGCAAAAAAGTTGCACCATTTACAGCCAGTGTACCAAATCCCGCGAATGAAGAGAGGGAGACAAGGTGGAGTGGGGTGGGTTGAAGATACTTACAGCCGGATGGGATTTTCGATCGGACTGTGATAGGGAAGCCGAATATGATTGCAAACCACTGTCACCAGAAGCCACAATATTTCGGTCCAAGGTAGAGCTCAATCGCAGTGTGTCCGGTGCATCCGCGCACGATTTGAACGGGAACGTTTTCTGGGTACTGTAGGCAACAGTGCTCGATTTAGGGCCACGGAAACTGCGCTGTTTCAACTGTGGTGTTTCGGTTTGCGAGTCATCCCATCGCTAATCGGATGGGCACAGATGAAGCACACAAACCCATACCCGCACAGGTCGTAGTGTTGTTGTTGTTGAGAGTTGGGGTCGAAAATGGAAACGAGAGGTGGCACATACACACACAGAGTGACCGAGTGAGAACACAGATCGGTGAACAGAGTGTAAATGGAGACGGTAGACCAGCACACACATAAAACACTATAGACCAAGTGTAACTCAAAATAACTATGCGTGTAATCTAGCGATTTCCTTAGCCATTTCATATGCAGTTTCATCATATGAAATGGCTAAGGAAATCGCTAGATTACACGCATAG